TTATTATTATTATATTATTATTACTACTACTACTATACCTATTATTGTTGTTTAAATCTATGTACCCAGACAATAGGCTGTTTGCTAAAAATTGAAAATGTTAGCTGAGGAAACCCCTGCCCCACCCCTGACCCCAACCCTAACCTAGACCCCAATCCCAACCCTGATCCCATTCTACCCTTAACCCCATCAAAACTAATACAACTTTTTTAAAAAAAAACCCAAGAGGCTGAAGTCTTGTGAGTATGTTGTTAATATTTGGACAGAGAACTCTGTACGAGTGCCAGTGGGGCATTCTTTTCACAGGAGCTGGAATTTTGTTGCTGGGTAAACAGATCGTTATGTCGAACCACAGATAAGAGATTTAGGATCTGCTGAATCTTATCAGGATTGTCTAAAGCCAATCTCCTCTATTGCTGTTTCTAGCAGAATCTTAATTGGCTTTTAACTCAAAAGTTACGTTCTGTGCCCAGTGTGGAAACTTCCCAGCTGATGGAAAACTACAGGTACTCCTTGAGTTAAGACCACCGTTGAGCCCAAAATTTCCACTGCTAAGCAAGACAGTTAAAAGACTCTGGTGCTGGAGAAGACTCCTGTGAGTCCCCCGGATTGCAAGGCGATCCAACCGGTCAGTCCTGGAGGAGATCAACCCCGACTGCTCTTTAGAAGGCCAGATCCTGAAGTGGAAACTCAAGTCCTTTGGCCACCTAATGAGAAGGAAGGACTCACTGGAGAAGAGCCTAATGCTGGGAAAGATGGAGGGCAAGAGAAAAAGGGGACGACAGAGAAGGAGGTGGCTGGATGGAGTCCCTGAAGCAGGAGGCCTGAGCTTCAATGGACTCCAGAAGATGGTAGAGGACAGGAAGGCCTGGAGGAACGTGGTCCATGGGTTGGACACGACTTCGCAACTAACAACAACAACGTCACTTCAGTTATTCAATTAGCTGCTTGATGGTTCAGAGAATCTGGCTTCCCCTTTTGATTTTGCTTTTCCGAAAGTCGCAAAAGAACCCCAGGACATCATTTATGCAACCGGCATAAATACGAGCCAGTTGCAAGCATCCCAGTTTTGATCACGTGACCCTGGGGATGCTGCAACCTCGTCAGCTTGAAGAATAGTCATAAGTCCCTTTTTTTTTTCAATGACGTAACTTCAAACAGTCACCAAACGAACGTCTTTTAAGTCGAGGGCCACCTGTGCTCTTCTGCTTCTTTTCGATCATCTACTACGTTTTTCAGTGATTCTTGGAAACGGGAGGAACAAGTACCGTTTTAAAGCGCCGTCCGATTGGTAGACACCGTCTACTTTCCTTTTAAGTTCTCAGAGAAAAAGAGGTATTATTTCATGCCTCCATGGGCAGGGCTTCCCATGAGTTGCACATTTAAACTATATAATTGCTGACAGAAGGCCACCTGAAGAGACTAGAAGCATTTGAAATGTGGATTGACAGGCGGCTGTTACGTAGAAGCTGGATGGACAAGATCAGAAACGAGGAGGGGATAAGCCACCTGGGAAAGCCAAGAGAAATCATCAAAACAATTAAAAAACGAAAATCAGAATATTTCGGACACGTGATGCGACACCCAGAAAAATACGGCCTACTCCATTTAATCCTCCAGGGAAAGATGGAAGGCCAACGAGGTCCAGGCAGAAGAAGAACATCGTGGCTTCAAAATCTAAGGGACTGATTCGGACAAAACTCAGCAGCACTTTTTCGTGTGGCTGCTGACAAAACTAGGATCGCCAACATCCGATAACGGATATGTCACAAGAATAATAATAATAATAATAATAATAATAATAATAATAATAATAATAATAATAATAATAATAATAATAATAATAATTGCTAACTGATAGAAAAACAGAAAACTTGGGATTATGGATCTCTGCACAGATTAATCCCAAATCTATTTATTTTTTTGCAAGTGATGTTGAAGAATAGAACAGTCTTTCTTTCTGCTGGAAACACACATTGTTCTGCGATCAGATTGAACCCCCTCTTCTGCCACCCCAGGCAGAAACACGCGAATCTTGAGTTATTTAGATTTGATCGTACATTTCCCCGCGGATAAAGCCTCGGGGGGTAAAAATGTATTTTCTCCTCCTTTCCCTGCTCAAGGCAGCGTACATTTTTACTTCCATTTGACGGAACCGAACATGACTCAGAGCATCATTTTGCAGATGAATTGGATAGAGCCTGTTTACTTCATCTAATTCATGTGCAAATGATAACACTGAGTCATCATGTTCGGCTCCGTCAAAATTTCACGATTTAAACAGGAGAGGATGTCCTTTTAATTCAAGGCCGATGTCGGTGGAGTTGTTGAGAGAAGGTCAGCCAGATCCGGAGCCCAAACAACTCGGCGAAACGGCGGCGTGGGCAGCAAATAAATTTAATGAACCAATAAAATGAAAACGGTCTGTCTTTGAAATAACTTGTCTTTCTCAAATTTCCACCAGCTGAATCAATGGCTGGCAGTCCCTGGCTGACCTCTTTATGGTAAAGGTCAGGATTCTCACCCACCCCTGGGATTACTAGATCCCATCGCCTTTCTAAAGTGACCTGCGAGGAGACCGGGAGCTGCAAAGATCAGCTCGGGGATCCGCAGCCGATTTTATTATGCATGCTTGCGCTTCAGCCACAGCACATAAATCAAACGCTGCAGGGTTTGTTACGCAATGTAAATTGCGGCTCCCCCCCTGATCCCGCTATCGGCCAGCCATCTTCATGTTTGGCAGAAGGATGAAAGCGTGAACTTGCAGCTTTGGCAAATCGTCGGCTTTTCACCGAAAGAATTTGGCAAAGCAAATAATATAGCACAGTATTTAGGCTTTCGGAGATCGGCAGCAGCAGAAGCATTATAACAGATTCTGGCTTGTTCTGGGCTTTTATGGAACTGCAATCAAAGCGGCTTCGTAGAGGTTCTGGAAAGTCTGACGTTTGAGCTATCGTTGGTTATTAAATTGATCGCTAGCACGGGGTTGGTGGGGAATTGCAGACCGTTTCGGGATGCGTTTTGTGCTTCCTTCTGCTTGCCCAGTTGTGCAATAGTGTTCGCCCGGGAGGGATGTAATTGGTTTGGTACGGCGATTAAAGGCGCTGGACTGTTCTCTCCCAGTCTTTCCTTAGGCATGAAATGCTGGTTGGGTGACTTTTGGCCTGTGGTTCTCTCTCGGCCCAACCCACCTCGTACGGTTAATAATAATAATAATAATAATAATAATAATAAAGTCAGAAGGGGCCTTGGAGGTCATCTAGTCCAACCCCCTGCTCAGGCAGGAAACCCTAGACCATTTCAGACAAATGGCTGTCCAGTCTCTTCTTAAAAACTTCCAGTGTTGGAGAAGGGAGGGAGGGAGGGAGGGAGGGAGGAAGAAAGAGAAAGAAAGAAAGAAAGAAAGAAAGGAAGGAAGGAAGAAAGGAAGAAAGAGATTCGGAGGGGACCTTGGAGGTCATCTAGCCCAACCCCCTGCTCAGGCAGGAAACCCTACACCATTTCAGACAAATGGCTGTCCAGTCTCTTCTTGAAAACTTCCAGTGTTGGAGCATTCACCACTTCTGGAGGCAGGTGGTTCCCCTGGTTAATTGTTCTCACTGTCAGGAAGTTTCTCCTTAGTTCTAGATTGCTTCTCTCCTTGATTAGTTTCCCTCCGTTGCTTCTTGTCCGGCCTTCAGGGGCTTTGGAAAATAATAAAATACTGTCTTTAAGATTGTTTTAGTTCCAGGCTCTCTGCATAGTTTTATGTTTTATCTCTTTTTTTTAATGGATTTTTTATTTTATTTTATTTTGTAGGCCGCCCAAGGTCCTGTCGGATCTGGATGGCTATAACAAATTTGAATAAATAAAGGGAAAGGCCAGTGTGGAAGAATCAACGGAGACAACCTTGGAATAATTCCAGAGGTTTTCAGGCATTCTCTGCTGACGCACAGCTGGGGGGGGGGCTGGAAGCTGGGTTGAGTCAGGCCTGGTTCCGCCTCACTCTTGCAAGCAGTGGGATAACAACGGAAGCTGATGTTGGCTGAAGTGGTTGTCTTGCTCGATCGTAGGTGGCCGAGTTACTTCATAGCCTGGCTTTCTCTGGGGTGCTTGGTGCTCTCCGAGGTGGGCAGTTTTCTTGCAGATGTTTCATTGCCAAACTAGGTACCATCATCCGTGTTGGAAGGAGGTGGGGTTTGCTCGCTGTTTCACCTCACTTCCTTCTAGCACTGAAGATGTTACCTGGTTTGCTAATGAAATGTCTGCAAGAAAACAACTCAGCTCAGAGAGCATCAAGGGCCCTAGAATCCACCTCCTCCTCCTCCTCCTCCTCCTCCTCCTCCTCCTCCTCTTCTTCTTCCTCCTCCTCCTCCTCCTCCTCCTCCTCCTCCTCCTCTCCACAAACCTATCTATCCCCTCCTATTTTCTAGTTGGGCAATGTCTACAAGAAAACCACCAACTTCAGAGAACAACAAGGACCCCACATTCTCCTTCTCCTTTTTCTCCTCCTCCACTGTCCTCCTTTTCCTTCTCTATATCATCTCTCCTTCCCTTTCCCCTTCCCCTTCCCATCTTTCTCATTCCCCTTCCTATCCTCCTCTCTGCAAGCCCTACTCCCTTCTAGCACTGATGTTGTTACCTAGTTGGGTCATGAAATGTCTGCAAGAAAGCCACCCAGCTCAGTGAACACCAGGGACCCCACAGTCTTCCTCCTCCTCCTCCTCCTCCTCCNTCCTTCCTTCCTTCCTTCCTTCCTTCCTTCCTTCCTTCCTTCCTTCCTTCTAGCACTGATGATGTTACCTAGTTGGGTCATGAAACGTCTGCAAGAAAACCGCCCAGCTCAGAGAGCACCAGGGACCCCACCGTTCCACCCTGAGCTGCAGATATTTTCCCCCTAGGACCGTCTCTCCCAGATGGCGCGATTTCCTTCACCAGATTGTGAGCCCTACTAGGAGCACACGCCTCCCCATTTTCCTAGCCTACGCGTAGTCTGACCCTGCTCCTCCTTTCCTTCGTAGAATCCTAAAACCAAAGAGCAGATTGAAAGCCTGTTACGGAATGGGAAGAACAAGGAGCTACGGGACCGTCTCTGCCGCCGGCTGACCTTTGGGACCGCCGGTCTGCGCTCCGCCATGGGCGCCGGCTTCTGCTACATCAACGATCTCACCGTGATCCAGTCCACCCAGGTGAGTGTCAGAGCCATTGTGAAGGTTCAAAGCTGTGTGTCTCCCCTCCACCCACCCACCCTGTCCTCTCCCCCCCCTCGTATGACCTCAGATGCCATTGTCATTGCCCCACAGGGTGTGGAAGCCCTAACTTGGATTGGAAAAGCAAACAAACAAACACACACAAAAAAAGACCCCTTGTTTAATACCACGTGTGCCTCTGATACATCCTTGGGGCGTCTAAAGCCGCGTTTCTCAAACTTTGGCCACTTGGAGCTGCGCCGGCTTCAGACCCCTGCATTCGACTGGAAGATGTGTGGACTTAACAAACTCCCAGAATTCAACTTTAGACACGCAACGGAGGGAAACACACCAAGGAGAGAAGCAACCTGGAACTAAGGAGAAACTTCCTGACAGTTAGAACAATTAACCAGTGGAACAACCTGCCTCCAGAAGCTGCGAATGCTCCAACCCTGGAAGTTTTTAAAAAGAGACTGGACAGCCATTTGTCTGAAATGGTATAGGGTTTCCTGCCTGAGCAGGTGGTTGGACTAGATGTCCTCCAAGGTCCCTTCCAACTTGATTATGATTATTATTATAACTTCAACTCTCAGAATTCAACTTTTCAGATGTGTGGATTTCAACTCTCAGAAGGGTGGCTGGGGAATTCTGGGAGTTGAAGTCCACACATCTGAAAAGTTGCCGCTTTGTTGAGAAATCCGGATCTGAAGAGTTTCTGTCATGATCTTCAACTGAAAAATATTCGGAAGCAGCTGACAACGGATCGAAAATGAGTTGTGTTCGCTCCTCACTGCGGCCAAACTTCCTTTTTTGAAAGACGTAGCAGAGAAGGAGGAAATGGAAAGGCAGGGAAAAATAAATGTTGAAGCAGTAGTCTGCTGATTTTCTGCCATTTCTGATTTAATAATAATAATAATAGTAATAATAAGCAGGAGGCGTGAGCTTAAATGGACTCCAGAAGATGGTAGAGGACAGGAAGGCCTGGAGGAACGTTGTCCATGGGGTCGGGATGGGTAGGACACGACTTCGCAACTAATAACAATAGTAATATAATAATAATAATAATAATAATAATAATAATAATAATAATAATAGTAGTAGTAGTAGTAGTAGTAGTAGTAGTAGTAGTAGTAGTAGTAGTAATAATAGTAATAATAATAATAAAGTTGGAAGGGACCTTGGAGGTCATCGAGTCCAACCCCCTGCTCAGGCAGGAATATAATAATAATAATAATAACAACAACAACTACTCCCAACAACAAAATCCCAAAACAACTGGAGCACCACTTGAACACCATCATCGGCATTGACAAATTCGCCATGAGTCAATTGCAAAAGGCGGCCTTACTAGGAACCGCTTCCATCCTGCGACGAGATCTGTAATACCATCAAACATCCACATCTGCCTATCCCAAGTCCTGGGTAAGGACTCGATAGGTAGACAAAATGCTAAATCCAGTCTGAACATCTGGCTGACTGTGCAATGATCAATAACAGATTTGGAAGGGACCTTGGAGGTCATCTAGTCCAACCCCCTGCTCAGGCAGGAGATCCTATAGTACCATTTCAGACAAATGGCCGTCCAGTCTCTTCTTAAAAACCTCCAGTGTTGGAGCATTCACCGCTTCTGGAGGCAGGTTGTTCCACTGGTTAATTGTTCTAATTGTCAGGAAGTTTCTCCTTAGTTCCTGGTTGCTTCTCTCCTTGATTAGTTTCCACCTGTTGCTTCTTGTCCTGCCTTCAGGCACTTTGGAGAATAGCTTGACTGCCTCTTCTTTGGGGCAGCCCCTGAGATACTGGAAGACTGCTATCATGTCCCCCCTCGTCCTTCTCTTCATTAAACTGGACATACCCAATTCCAGCAACCGTTCCTTATATGTTTCAGCCTCCAGTCCCCTAATCATCTTTTTTACATCGTGGTGACCAAAACTGGATGCGGTATTCCAAGTGTGGCCTTAGCCAGGCCTTGTAAAGTGGTATTAAAGTGGTCTCAACCTCTTTTTTTGCTGATGCTATTCTGTCCCTTTCACCTTGAGTTGCAGGCAGGTTTTCACTAGCCTAAAAGAACCAGGGATTTGCTCTAAAGGGCAGCTTATCTGAGGGAGGAAGCAAGAGCCGGCACTGTTTTGGAAATGTTGGCATTGTGCAGAATGTCAACAACCTCCTTGCCGTTGACTAGGCACCCAGCGTTCAAGGAAAGAGATTTGCCCAGTCTTGTTAAGTAACTCTCCAAGAAAAAAAAAATAATGCCCGGGGTTACCGGTGAACTTGGCTTAACCTCCCTTACAGGATAAAACAACAAAAGGCATGCTCTTCTGAGCTTCCTGGAGGAATATTAAAATAGAGAGGATTTGTTTTTGTTTTTCCTGAGACTGCTAGAATATTAAGTGGTGCTTTGTTTGTTTTTTTTAAAAAAAAGATTTTAAGTGGAGTAAACCCTGAGGAAACTGCACTTAGGGATGAACTCAAAAGGATGGTCGCGTGGCCCTGTTAAGAAACAGCCATGCTCAGCGGTTGAAGCGCTGTCCTTGCCAACGAAGGGAGCATGTCTGTTTTATCTGATTTTTCTTTTTTTTTAAATCTTGGGCAAAGGCGAATATTCCAAGGAAGTCTGTGGCAGGGATGCAATGGGGCAGTGGTGGCGAACCTATGGCACGCGTGCCAGAGGTGGCACTCAGAGAATACAATAGAAATCTAGAATAGAAAAAAGCTGGAAGGGACCTTGGAGGTCGTCTAGTCCAGCCCCCTGCTCAAGCAGGAGCACCTATACCATCTCAGACAAGTGACTGTCCAGTCTCTTCTTAAAAACTTCCAGCAATGGAGCGCCCATGACTTCTGGTGGCAAGCTGTTCCACTGGTTAATTGTCCTCACTGTCAGGAAGCTTCTCCTTAATTCCAGGCTGCTTCTTTCCTTGACCAGTTTCCATCCATTGTTTCTCATCTTTCCCTCTAGTGCTCTGGAGAATAACGTGACCCCCTCTTCTTTGTGGCAGCCCCTCAAATACCGGAACGCGACTATCACGTCTCCCCTATTTCTTCTTTTCTTTAGACTAGCCAAACCCAAGTCCCGCAGACTTTCATCCTCCTCTTTTAATTGAATTGCCCTGCACACCTGAATAATTTTTTAGAATCAAGGCTCGTAAACACGCGGGTCCTAACTTTTAGACCCCTTTACAGAGGTCGTCCTGAACGACATGACATTATATTTGTGCTTTATTATCTTTGGTCTTGCCTCGTCCAGTTCTCTAGCACCTAGCCGGCACCTTCGTAACGTTTGTTGAGACCGGAAGGAAGAGGAACTGGGAGAGTCAGTCATGCTCCGAAAGCCTGGCCTGCACGTGCTGACTTTGTGTTTTGGTTCGCTGGGAAGAATGCGCCGGCTGATAAATCATAATAGGCGTTTCTTGGAGGAAGTTCAAATTCAGACACCGGGGAATCTCTGCGGCTGCGTTCTAGTTTTGTTGACGACGACCGTTCTGCGCTGCTCGATGTTTGCTTCCCTAATTCTTGTGGGTTGCACGGGTGGGCGTTCTCTGCTGTGGCTGTTCTTTTTCTTCTTTCTTTTTTTGTATAGATTTTATTAGTTTATTAGTTTTTATAGGGTTGGCTTTGAGTTAGGGTTAGGGTTGGGGTTGGGGTTGGGTTTTTTTCCAAATAGCATTTTCGATATTTAGCAAACGGCACAATGTCTGGGTACATGCATTTAACTAACAATAATAGATATAGTTAATTATCATAAACAATATATTAATTCATCACTCAATAGCGGTCTTCTTACTAATATTCAAAATTACATATCGCGTTCCTTTCTCTCTGATGCAGTGGCTGTTCTTTTGATCTAGCAGAATTGTGGTGGTGATTTGGTTATGAACAAATCCTCCTTATGTATGCATGCCTATGTGTATGTATACACACACACACACATATACATACATACATAGAAGCAACCTGGAACTAAGGAGAAACTTCCCGACAGTGAGAACAATTGATCAGTGGAACAACCTGCCTCCAGAAGCAGTGAATGCTCCAACACTGGAAGTTTTTAAGAAGAGACTGGACAGCCATTTGTCCAAAATGGTATAGGGTTTCCTGCCTGAGCAGGGGGTTGGACTAGATGACCTCCAAGAGCGAGGGAGGGAGGGAGGGAGGGAGGGGAAGGAGGGAGGGAAAGAGGGATGTGGGGGAGAGTGCATATGTGCCAACACCAGACTAGAAAACAGGAGACAGTGATTTAAGATAACCTTTATTGTCAGTTTTTACTGTGGGCATATTGGCACACATTAAAAATGAAATTCTGTTGCCTGCTCTCAAAAGTGTACACATACATAACACACATATAATAATAATAATAATAATAATAATAATAATAATAATAATAATAATAATAATAATAATAATAATAATAATAATAAAGTTTGAAGGGGCCTTGGAGGCCATCTAGTCCAGTCCCCTGCTCAGGCAGGAAACCCTAAACCATTTCGGACAAATGGCTGTCCAGTCTCTTCTTAAAAACTTCCAGTGTTGGAGCATTCACCGCTTCTGGAGGCAGGTGGTTCCACTGGTTAATTGTCTTCACTGTCAGGAAGTTTCTCCTTAATTCCAGGTTGCTTCTTTCCTTGATTTGTTTCCATCCGTTGCTTCTTGTCCTGCCTTCAGGCGCTTTGGAGAATAGCTTGACCCCCTCTTCTTTGGGGCAGCCCCTGAGATACTGGAAGGCTGCTATCATGTCCCCCCTCGTCCTTCTCTTCATTAAACTTGACATACCCAATTCCAGCATCCGTTCCTTATATGTTTTAGCCTCCAGTCCCCTGATCATCTTTGTTCCTCTTCTCTGTACTCTTTCTAGAGTCTCAGCATCTTTTTTATATCATGGTGACCACAACTGGATGGCAGGATTCCAAGCGTGGCCTCACCAAGGCCTCGTGATTAAGTGAATCACTGCAGTTCTTAAGTTAGTGGCACGGTTAAGGAAATCCGGCTTCCCCATTGACTTTGCTTGTCAGAAAGTCGCAAAAGGGGGTCGTGTGACCCCGAGCAACCGTCATAAACGTGAGTCAGTGGACAAGACGTTTGAATTTTGACCACACGGTCATGGAGATGCTGCAACGGTCGCATGAAAAACAGCCGTTAGTTCACTTTTTTCCAGTGCTGCTGTAACTTTGAATGGTCACTAAACAAATGGTTATAAGTCAAGGACTCCCTGTGCATTTTACCTATGCATTTTTCACCCCCTCTCGAGTTTTTCGGGTTTAATCCACGTTGCAGCCAGTTCCAAGAAAAGGACTATGCACTGCAGACGTATTGAGCAAGCAGCTAAGTGTGGTAAAGATCCAGGCCCTAGGTCTCCTGGGCGGGATTTGTGCTGACCGAAAGTACCACTATGTTGAAGATAGATTAAAATCTCTCCCTGGAAAATTACAAGTTGGAATGTGAAGTCTTTGCTGTCCTGACTTTACGGTCCCCAAATACATAATAATAATAATAATAATAATAATAATAATAATAATAATAATAATAATAATAATAATAATAATAATAATAGTAATAGTAATAATAATAATAATAATAATAATAATAATAATAATAATAATAATAATAATAATAATAATAATCTAATCCAACCCCCTGCTCAGGCAGGAGACCCTATACCATTTCGGACAAGTGGCTGTCCAGTTTCTTCTTAAAAACTTCCAGTGTTGGCGCATTCACCGCTTCTGGAGGCAGGTTGTTCCACTGGTTAATTGTCCTCACTGTCAGGAAGTTTCTCCTTAGTTCCAGGTTGCTTCTCCCCTTGATGAGTTTTCATCCGTTGCTTCTTAATAATAATAATAATAATGATAAAGTTGGAAGGGACCTTGGAGGTCATCTAGGCCAACCCCCTGCTCAGGCAGGAAACCCTATACCATTTCGGACAAGTGGCTGTCCAGTTTCTTCTTAAAAACTTCCAGTGTTGGCGCATTCACCGCTTCTGGAGGCAGGTGGTTCCACGGGTTAATTGTTCTAACCGTCAGGAAGTTTCTCCTTAGTTCTAGGTTGCTTCTCTCCTTGATGAGTTTCCACCCGTTGCTCCTTGTCCTGCCTTCAGGCGCTTTGGAGGATAGCTTGACTCCCTCTTCTTTGGGGCAGCCCCTGAGATACTGCAACCCTGCTATCCTGTCCCCCCTCGTCCTTCTCTTCATTCAACTAGACATACCCAGTTCCAGCAACCGTTCCTTATATGTTTTAGCCTCCAGTCCCCTGATCATCTTTGTTGCTCTTCTCTGTACTCTTTCCAGAGTCTCAACATCTTTTTTACATCGTGGGGACCAAAACTGGATGCAGTATTCCAAGTGTGGCCTTACCAAGGCCTTGTAAAGTGGTATTAACACTTCACGTGATCTTGATTCTATCCCTCTGTTAATGCAGCCTAGCACTGTGTTGGCCTTTTTGGCAGCTGCAGCACACGGCTGGCTCCTATTTAAGTTGCTACTATTGAGCAAGGTAACCCCTATACTATACCTGTACATTTGGTTTTTCTTGCCTAAATGTAGAACCTTCCTTTTTTCACCCTTGAATTTCATTTTGTTAGATAGCACCCAGTGTTCAAGTCTGTCCAGGTCCTCCTGTATCCTAAGCCTGTCTTCTGGAGTGTTGGCTATTCCTGCTATGTACATCTTGAGTGCTTCAGTTTTTTGTGCTGGAATAGCCCACTTTCTTCTCTTTGGCACGTAAGGCATTTTAAGATTATGCTGTCATGCAGTCATATCTCAGTTTAACAAACTACGGTAAGTTTGAGCGTTTGGCCCATGGGATGGATCTTCATATCCCTTCCTTTCTTCATATACCTCCCTCCCTATTTCCTTTCTTCCCTTCCCTCCCTCCCTAAAATTTTGCTTATCCAGAAAATAAGCTGAAAACAAGTTAAAATTTTTAACTGGCACCTTACTAGTTTTGAACCTGACAGTGGCCCATGTACCAAAGAATAATAAATGGGAAGCTGTTTGGCATTGTTGTAGATAACTGGAGAAAGAAAGGAACCTCTGATATAGTGATCAACTTAACTTAAATAGAATTGTCTGAATTAGTGTACTGTGCTCAGCCTGGAATAGCGTGTTTGTTTTGGAAATCTTTATTGTGTGGGAATAGAATGAACTGTTTCACACAGGATAAATTATTTACTGCTCAGCAAATATTGTCCATTGTGATGGTTTGCTTTAGCACTTATCTCCACCTATTGGCACTTGGCAAAAGTGACCGAAAGTATTTCTTTTTTTTGTTTTTCTTGCAAAGTGATCCAGGGATCAGTAGCTTCAGATAGTAGCTGATTCAAGAGCCTCGGCGTAGGAGACCTTGGGCCAGGCCCAGACATCGTGTAAACAAGACTGACTCCTTATCGTTTAAAAGAAAAAACACTTTATGTTTTCACTGTGTATGCTGCCCAGAGTCAACTTGTGTGAGATAGCTGGCTACATAAATTTGAGAAATAACAATGAAAACCAAACCCACATTGACAGAAGTTATTTCCCTTCTCGACAAGCTGGGCCTAGATAGCAAATTTTCCATAGAAAGATGGCTGATGAACAAAACAAGACAGTGGAGCAAGGGCAGATTCTCCCTTCGACCCATCATTCTGGCTAAGGATAATTCAGCCTGGAGGAATCAAATATTTATTAAACTACTGATTCATCTATAGCAATATTTCTCAATTTTTGTCAGCCAGCCAGGAATTCTGGGAGTTGAAGTCCACACATTTGTCTGAAATGGTATATTTATCTGAAATGTTGTAGGGCAGGGGTAGGCAACCTTGGCTCTTTTATGACTCGGGGACTTCAACTCCCAGAATTCCTCAGCCAGCATGGGGGAAACTCTGGCCCCTTCATGACTTGTGGACTTCAACTCCCAGAATTCCTGAGGCAGCATGGGGGAACTATGGCCCCTTCATGACTCGTGGACTTCAACTCCCAGAATTCCTCAGCCAGCATGGGGGAATTATGGCCCCTTCATGACTTGTGGACTTCAACTCCCAGAATTCTGAGCCAGCATGAGGGAACTGTGGCCCCTCATGATTCGTGGACTTCAACTCCCAGAATTCTGAGCCAGCATGAGGGAACTATGGCCCCTTCATGACTCGTGGACTTCAACTCCCAGAATTCCTCAGCCAACATGGGGGAACTATGGCCCCTCATGATTCGTGGACTTCAACTCCCAGAATTCTGAGCCAGCATGGGGGAACTATGGCCCCTTCATGACTCGCGGACTTCAACTCCCAGAATTCCTCAGCCAGCATGGGGGAATTATGGCCCCTTCATGACTTGTGGACTTCAACTCCCAGAATTCCTGAGCCAGCATGGGGGAACTATGGCCCCTTCATGACTCGTGGACTTCAACTCCCAGAATTCCTGAGCCAGCATGGCTTAGCTTGGAAACCTCTCCCTTTCCCCTCAGCACGGCTGGCTCAGGAATTCTGGGAGTTGAAGTCCACGAGTCATAAAAGAGCCAAGGTTGCCTACCCCTGGTATAGGGTATCCTGCCTGAGCAGGGGGTTGGACTAGATGACCTCCAAGGTACCTTCCAACTTCTTTTTCTCCTCCTTCTCCTCCTCTTCCTCCTCCTCCTCCTCCTCTTCCTCCTCCTCCTTCTTCTTCCTCCTCCTTTCTTCTTCTTCTTCTTCTTCTTCTTCTTCTTCTTCTTCTTCTTCTTCTTCTTCTTCTTCTTCTTCTTCTTCTTCTTCTTCTTCTTCTTCTTCTTCTTCTTCTTCTTCTTCATCATCATCATTATTATTATACATCTTAAAACTGACAAAGCTAAGAAATACTGATCTACAGAAAAAGGTATAAAAATAAATATTAAAAAAATTTAAGTGCATAGGATTTCCTCTTTCTTTTTTTTTTAAAGTGAATTCTAAAATTATTTTTTAAGCATCACGCAGGTATACACGTAAGGCCTATACATATTGCCTAATGATGGAACCACCACTTCCTTGGACTGGATCTGAGAGTGGATGCTTCTGGTCTAAGCAATAGGCCACGATCTCAATAAACCTAACTTTATAAGTTTCCTGCCCAGGCAAAGAATATTGTATTCTCCCTCTCTCTTCCTTTCCTGCAGGGGATGTACAAATACCTTGAGCAATGTTTTTCCGACTTCAAGCAACGTGGCTTTGTGGTAGGGTATGACACCCGTGGCCAGGTGACCAGCATGTGCAGCAGCTTCAGGTATGGACTTGGTCCAGGTTTAAAAGTCTAAAAGTCAAGAATGCCTCTGCTTCTCTTGTACAGGCCAGTAGGATAAGGATAGGATAACCTTTATTGTCATTTTTTTTACTGTGGGCACAACGGCACACATCAAAAATGAAATTTTAGTTGCCCGCTCTCGAAGTGAAACACATACACGACGCACACCTAAACATACTATGAACAACGTATGCATAGACCCACATCCCTACATATACGTAGCAAATAAATATTAAATACTGTCCATCTTGAATATATAATGGAAGGAGGAAGCTTGAGAGCTCACGAGGTTAATGCTGTATGGAATGAAACTCTGGCTGAATCTGGATGTTCTGCTATGGATATTCATACTTTGAAGGGGAGAGCAAATCTGGGGAAAAAAAACCCTTTTTTCTGCAAATAAGCAGCAGTAATAACAGTTAATGAATGCTTTACATAGACCTGACTGGATTTAGATCTTCATTCTCTCTCAAGGAGTCAGAGAAATTTGGATACTTCGGGGTGCAATGGAATAGAAGCTGTAGATCTAGATCTAAATCCTTTTTTTGCAGACAAGCATTTAAGCAGGATTGAATTATAAATATTAGCCTTTCGCCACGGGTACAGTTATATCATACATCCTCTGGCAGACTTTGCTGCTGATCCTGTTGAATAAATCTGGAATCCAACAGACGTACAGGGGCCTAAAAATGCTTTTTAAATCATTTTGTGATACGGAAAGCATTTTGATTCGGGCACGAAGCTGGCTCAAAAGAGAAATTTGGACGACGGGCCTTGTGTTTCTGTTGCTTGCTAAATTCATCTGCACTTTAGGGTTCCAGCACAAACGTGTTGCCTTAGTCAGCACTGTGTAGTAATTTGTGCTGTTGAGAAAGATGGCACTTTTTTAATGCCTTCGACTCGTTTTTTTTTACACTCCTAGAGAGTGCCTAGATTAGGCAAGATTTCAGGATTGGTTTGCCATTGCCTTCTTTCTAGGGCTGAGAAAGAGAGACTGGCCCAGGGTCACCTAGATGGGCTTCATGCCTAAAGTAGGACTAGAACTCACGGTCTCCTGATGACTGAAGTCACCCAGCCAACTTTCATGCCTAAGGCGGGACTAGAACTCACCGTCTCCTAGTGATTGGCCCAAAGTCACCCAGTTGGCTTTCATGCCTAAGGCGGTACTAGAACTCACCGTCTCCTGGTGATTGGTCCAGAGTCACCCAGTTGGCTTTCATGCCTAAGGCGGGATTAGAACTCACCGTCTCCTAGTGATTGACCCAAAGTCGCCCAGCCATTTTTCATGCCTAAGGCGGGACTAGAACTCACCGTCTCCTAGTGATTGGTCCAGAGTCACCCAGTTGGCTTTCATGCCTAAGGCGGGATTAGAACTCACCGTCTCCTAGTGATTGGCCCAAAGTCACCCAACTGGCTTTCATGCCAAAGGCGGGACTAGAACTCACTGTCTCTGGGTGATTGGCTCAGAGTCATCCATTGGCTTTCATGCCTAAGGTGGGACTAGAACTCACTGTCTCCTGGTGATTGGCCCAGAGTCACCCATTGGCTTTCATGCCTAAGGCGGGACTAGAACTCACCGTCTCCTGGTGATTGGCCCAAAGTCACCCAGTTGGCTTTCATGCCTAAGGCGGGATTAGAACTCACCGTCTCCTAGTGATTGGCCCAAAGTCACCCAGTTGGCTTTCATGCCTAAGGCGGGATTAGAACTCACCGTCTCCTAGTGATTGGCCCAAAGTCACCTAGCCAGCTTTCATGCCTAAGGTGGGACTAGAACTCATGGTTTCTAGACTGATGTCTCAGCTGCAACACCAAACTGCTTCTCATGACACAATTAGGAAAACACAATGCAGCGTGAGAGAAATCGCTGGGCTGTTTTGTAGCACATTGTCACTCTTGGCCCATGGCTGAGTTTTCCTTTATAGGAGAAGCTTCTTTATTTCCTGTATTTTAATGTCTTGTTTTCCACAGGCTTGCCAGGCTCACAGCAGCCGTCCTGCTGGCAAAGGGCGTTTCCGTTTACTTGTTCTCAAGATACGTCCCTACGCCTTTTGTGGTGAGTGGCTATTTTTTTTTTTTAAATGCTCCCTGAGCTTCATAGAGTGGCTTAGTAGTACTTCTACTAATCTGAATCTGGTGCCACTCCGGTTTGAATCAAGCCGGCCGTCTCAGCCACCCTATCTAGAAATGAAACCGGGTTAGTACTGGGTTAGTGCCTGGGGCAAATGAAGATTCCCCTTCATCTACAAGCAGTAACATCTCTTCATCCATCCGTAAAATCCCAGCGATGGTCCTCTACTAGCAACCGTAGCTGAGCCCAGGATGCTGGTTGCATGTCGTGTCTGTCGTTAAGCGGGTCCCCGTGTGACCACGCCCAATTTTACAACCTTTTTGCGGCCGCCATTCAGCGTTGTTAAACGAACCCTACTGATTCTGTTAAAGGAACGCCACGCTCGTTAAGCAAGCTCAATTGTTTCCTACAAAAGACATTGTAAATCACCGCGGGGTGTTGCAAACCTGTTGTAAACGTGGGCTGGTGGCCAGGCACGCAAAACGCGATGGCAGCTGTCAGATTTTTTGAAACCGGGTCGTAAGTAGTTCCCGGGAGGTCAGTCGTAACTTGCAACGGTTGCTAAGCAACCGGTCGTAAGTCAAGGACTGCCTTGAACAATAGCTTGGTGCGGAAAAAAATGGATATATCTGGCCTTCTTCTTCTTCTTCTTCTTCTTCTTCTTCTTCTTCTTCTTCTTCTTCTTCTTCTTCTTCTTCCTCTTCCTCTTCCTCTTCCTCTTCCACTTCCTCTTCTTCTTCTTCTTCTTCTTCTTCTTCTTCTTCTTCTTCTTCTTCTTCTTCTTCTTCTCCTTCTTCTTCTTCTTCTCTCGGTGTTTCGCAATGGATTGCTGTTTTATTTGAATCACCTGATTTCCCAAACTGAATTTCCCAATTCAACGGCTAAACTATAATTCCGAGAGTTGTACACTACTAAGCTCACCATGCAGTTTCTTTTTTTATATATATATAACTTTTTATTGATTTTCTAATGCTACAATTCTATCTTTGGAAAACAACATGGCGGCTGAGTAACAATAATTCAATTACATACAGATATTATTCGTACAAATCTCCAACTATTACAGCCAATTTTTCCTCTCTTTTTCCCTTCCAACTTTATTATTATTATTATTATTATTATTATTATTATTATTATTATTATTATTATTACTACTACTACTACTACTACTACTACTACTACTACTACTACTACTACTACTACTACTATTATTTGTGGAACATTTTTAGAGCTTCTTTAGGGCAATGTGGATTTTTGCATGTCTGGACGCACCGTTTCAAAATAACAGCGGTGCTGAGTTACCTCTTTATGCGCCTGCCATTTAAAAAGGCTTTATTTTGTTTTTCTTATTTTAAATAAAATGATTAAAAAAAAAATGCCTTGCCTCTGAAACGCCAAATGTCTTCCTCGGTGCAGCTGTATTCCAGGTGCTTGGAATACCTGGTGTTCCTGCCAAGGACTCGGTCTTGGCTGATTCTGTCATCCCACAAGTGATTTTGGACAGCTCATAGGACCTCTGAGGGAGATGGCAGTTTAGCCACATTAAATATAAAGAAATAAATACACACTTTGCTTTGCAGCCGTATGCGGTCCAGCAGCTCAGGGCCGTCGCAGGGGTGATGATCACAGCTTCCCACAACCGTAAGGAAGACAACGGCTACAAGGTGGGTCCGCCAGTTTGGTAGCTGCCTAATTTGACTAATTGGTTTTCAACTTTTTCCTCTCTCTCTCTGTCTCTTTCTCTGTCAATGATGGTGAAACATTTGGGCTCAATGTGTCAAAGGTTTGGAAAAGGTTTGTGGGAGAGGAGGAGGAGGAGGAGGAGGAGGAGGAGGACTGTGGGGTCCTTGGTGCTCTCTGAGCTTGCTTGATTCCAACGTCTGTAAAGTAATGGATTGATCCCTTGTAGTAGTCATGATCTTCCCTCATCCCAAACACCCTCTCCTCCTCCTCCTCCTCCTCCTGTTGCTGACACCCCAGGAAACACGAGAGACTCGAACCACCAAAAGAACGTCTACAAAGTAACGGATTGATCCCTTGTAGAAGTCACGATGTTCTCTCACCCCAAACACCTGGAGGAGGAGGAGGAGGAGGACTGTGGGGTCCTTGGTGGTCTCTGAGCTTGCTTGATTCCTTGCAGACATTTCATGACCCAACTAGGGAACATCATCAGTGCTAGGAGGGAAATGGAGTTGTAGAGGAGGAGGAGGAGGAGGTGGAGGAGGACTGTGGGATCCTTGGTGCTCTCTGAGCTAGGTTGTTTTCTTGCAGACGTTTCATGACCCAGCTAGGGGACATCATCAGTGCTAGAAGGGAGGAAGGAAGGGAAGGAGGGAGGGAGGAAGGAAGGAAGGACAGACCGTGGGTTCCTTGGTGCTCTCTGAGCTGGGTGGTTTTCTTGCAGACGTTTCATGACCCAACTAGGTAACATCATCAGTGCTAGGAGGGAAATGGAGTTGTAGAGGAGGAGGAGGAGGAGGAGGTGGAGGAGAACTGTGGGGTCCTTGGTGCTCTCTGAGCTGGGTTGTTTCCTTGCAGACGTTTCGTTGCCGAATTAGGTAACATCATCAGTGCTGGAAGGGTGTGGGGTTTGCTCTCTCAACAGCTTAATTAAGGAATCAGCAACACTGAGAGGGCTAGCCACTTGTATATAAACAAAGGGCAAACCCCATTCTCTTCTAGCACTGAGGATGGTACCTAGTTTGGTAATGAAACGTCTGCAAGAAAACAACCAAACTCAGAGGCCACCGAGGACCCCACAGTCCTTCTTCCTCCTCCTCCTCCTCCTCCTCCTCCTCCTCCTCCTCCTCCTCCACAAACCCCACTCTCTTGTAGCACTGAAGATGTTCCCTAGTTAGGCAATGAAACATCTGCAAGAAAACCACCAAGCTCAGAGAGCACAAAGGACCCCACAGTCGTTGTCCTCCTCCTCCTCCTCCTCCTCTCCCACAAACCCTACTCCCTTCTAGTACTGATGATGTTCCCTAGTTAGGTAATGAAATGTCTGCAA